ATTTCTAATCTCGGCTGGGTTCTGTATATTCCTTCCTTCCACTTCTAGATTTGTAACTGTATTTAATTTTTGTCTTTTTTTCATTTGCCAAGCCAGCAATTTCCCACATTTATTAGCCGACTCGAATGTCTTTTGTCTCATTTGTTTAATTTTCCATTCTATCTCCTGATTCATCATTTTCATGTATTGTACTTGATGTAACTTTATTTCTCTCAAAATCTCTTGCGACTTTGGTTTTGCTCTCAATTTCTTTTCACTTTCCTTTATTTTCTCCAAAATTTTATCCTTCTTCTCATTTTGGATTCTCTTCTTTAATGCGTTCTGTTGTATCAAGAACCCTCTCATGACAGCTTTACTTGCGTCCCAGATTACTCTTTTTTCCACATTGGTGTTCATATTTATCTCAAAATAATCTCTCAAGGTTTTTTGGGCCTTCTTAAAGACTTCTTCATCTCTAAATAAGGTGTCATTCATCCTCCATCTGAAGGAGCCAGTTGGTGTTAGTTTCATCTCCATCTTCACAGCATTATGGTCGGAGCAAGTTTTTGGGCAGATTTCCACTTTTCTTGTCTTTGGTGCCATTCCTCTAGTTACCCATATTTGGTCAATTCTTGTCCATGTCAGTTTGGCTTCAGAGAAGAAGGTTCCCTCTCTGGCCAAGGGATTCTTTGTTCTCCAGATATCAACTAAGTCCAAGTTGTCTGTCATCTCAAAAAAAGTTTTCGGTAGTCTGCCGTCCTTAGTGACTACCTGTCTTTGTGCCTTGTCCATGTGTGTAGATACCACTCCATTCATGTCTCCCATCAAAATCACATTATAATCCAAATAGTCCATCAAGGTCTCATGCAACTTTTTAAAAAAGTCAGATTTCCCCTCATTTGGTGCATAAACTCCTACTATCAAAAATTTCTCTCCTTGTGTTTGAATTTCAATTGCCACAAATCTTCCTTGGTCATCTTTGAAGATAAATTTCGGTAATAGTCTCTCCTTTGCATAGATCACTACCCCTCTTTTTTTAACCTTGTCCGATGAAATAAACTCCTGACCCAGTCTTTTATTAATCAGTAGTTTCCTGTGTAACCTTGTTACATGTGTTTCTTGTAGACAAATCAAGTCCAATTGTTCCTTTTTTAATAAATGAAACACAGATTTCCTTTTCTGAGGGAGTTCAAACCATTACAATTCCAGCTTAATAGTTGCAGAGCCATGATGTAGTTACTTTGCTTCTCCTCCAACTGCACCCAGTGCCTGTTCCTGATCTGTCGGTGGTATCCCCTTCTTCAGGCGGTCTTTTAGTTCAGGAGGTAAACTTGGTATGTCTAAAGTTTCACTTACAAGTGCTCTTAACTCTTCTGCAGCTTCCTTCTGCAGGTCTTCTCCGTGGTCTCTCCAAAATCTATCTTTGTCGTCCTCTGATCTTATTTTTATCTTCTTCCCTTTGTAACTAAAGGATAGGCCTTGGGGGGAATTCCCACCTAAAGATGATTCCGTTGCTTCTCAACAGGGCAACCAAATCTCTATAATTGGACCTAAGGTCCAAAAGATGCTTCGGAATATCCTTAAATATCTCCACTTTTGACTGGTGTATTTCCAAAGTCTTCTGGAAGTGCAGACTCAAGATTTTGTCTCTCTCCTCTTTTGTTCGGAGGGTGATCAAACAGTCTCTCACCCTGTTCCTCCTCCCTCCTCTTCCAAGCCTGAAGGCACTCACTATCTTGAAACTATCCTTCTCCAAATCTGGGTTCCAAAAGTCTGCAAATTCCTGCGTAAGAAAGTCAGTCAAGTTGTCTTTCTCAAGTTCGGGTACGGCCCTGATCCTTAAATTCGTTTGTTTCTCCTTCAACTCAATCATAGACAATATTGACCTGTGGTCTTGAAGTTGTTTGTGTATCGGTGGTATCTTCTCTTCTACAACAGTGGCTGTAGCAGTTGCTATTTCCTTTGCCTCTTCGGCTGTCTTTCGTGTCAAGGTAGATTCCTGTTGTAATTTCTGAATAGTTTCTGTGTTGGTATTTACCTCTTGTCCCAAATTATTAATACTTGTAGTGTTTTGATCAATTTTGCCCGATGCCTCGACTACTTGTTTACTTATTCTTTCCAAAGATTCGTTGATTTTACCTAGTGCCTGAGCCAAAGCATCTTCAGCTGCCATTCCTTTAGGTTTAGGTTGTGCCGATGAGGTTACTGTTGGTAAACCAGAAGGGCCAGATGTCGATGCTCTTCGTTGCAGCCCACCGTCTGTGCGAAATAGTCTGCCAGACCTCGTTTTTTCCTGTAACAAATCTATCTTCTCCTTGCCATCTGCCATAACCCTCAAGATAAAACCCAAGGTCAGTCTCACGATCAAAATTTGTTTTGAAGTGGAAAATTTCCATGGCCCAGCTGCTATTGTAGCAATTTCAAACTTCCTCTAGAGGGACACAGTAGCAATCAAAAGTGTCTTAAAGTAATTAACTTTTTTCCTTTAGCCCCCCAATTCACAAAAAGGACAACAGTTTCAATCTCAGTTATTTTCTGTTACTTTAAAACCAGGAGAAGCCAGTCAGAAATATTGTATCTTACTTGTATCTCAGATGCAGAGTTAACTGTCAAAGAGTACTTTCAGCAACAGCACATTTCACAGTACGGCATTCTTACTGTTCACTGGCAACCCGTTCCAGGGTTTTGAGCGGTGGATTTTAGCTTCTTTTCCTCTCTTTTTGCAGGGAAATACAGTTCAAACCTTTCCCCCCTCCTCCCCTGCAATCAAGGGGAGAAAATCGCTTGTTTGATGTTCGAATTATAATCCTTTTCCAACGTCTTTTAAGGTTTCCGCTTACAAGTTCATTGCTTTACTCCATTTACAAGAACGGAAGGCAGACTTCCTGTTTATGCCTTTCCACTTCGGTGCCAAATTATTTGTAAAATTCCTTTGATTCCAAAATTAGCCTACTCACGGATCATTGTTTTGCAGCCAAATTGTCCCAGGAAAAAGGCAGCGCTCTCCAGTAACGGCTATGCGGCTTCGCTCCACGGAAGAAGCAATTGACTCACAGCACCGCGCCACTTCCCCGCTCCGCTCTGGAACCCGTAGTCGGGCTCCTTTGCAAGTTGGGGGGGCGCAAAAGGTGCCCGCCGAGTCCCACGGTCACAGGCTTCACCCGCCTGTGATTTTTGAAGGGTCCCCGCTTCGCCGTAGCGGTGCAGACCCAATTTCCACAGAGCCGGTTCCCTCCAAGTCAGAGGGAATCCGCCATTACCGATGGCGCCACCCCGGAAGTTCCAACAGTGGGTACTTTCCACTAATTACATAGAACACCATTTGGTAAGCAGGGAGATTTCAGGGGTAGCCAGTGTGGTGCCTTTGGGATGTTGCTGGACTACAGCTCCCACCAGTGCCAGCCAGTGTGGCCAAATGGCTAGGGTTATAAGAGTTGTAGTTCAACAATATTTGGAGGGCACCATGTCAGTTACCTCTGGCCTGCTTCAGTAACATTATGAGAATGGTAACAACCATTCTGATAGCAATCTAATATGAAACACATCATGCCTCATAAATTGATTTCAGATTAACAAGTTATTTTTTTAAATGGGAATATAACATTTAAGCTTAAAAACGCACCAGCATAAGACCTTGGTTTTACCAAAACATGACCAGTGCAATTCTTCCATTTATTGTCCTTTTTTTAAAGAAACCCCATGCAAAGCTGATGATGTATTTCAAGGTGGAATGGAGAAAAATAGAGCACACTGTATTTTACGGTGAGACAAAGAAAAATAGAATCTTGTCCATTTCTTCATGCGGAGCAGCTTTAAAGATCATATAAAGATAGAACCACTGTGTAAGAAAGGACTTTGAAGGTTATCTGGACAAACACACACACAAGGTACAGGATGACAGATGGATGTTGAGATGTCTAGGCTCTTCTCAAATACCTCTAGTGAAGGAGACCCCACCTACCACCTAAAGAATCCGCTCTACTGTCTGCTTGTACTCTGAATGCTTAGTCAAACGCTGCTTCCCTGGCATCCTTCCCCAAGTCCTTCCGTTCTTATTCCCAGGGGAAATCACCATGCACATTTCTTCCTGCCTAATTTACAAATTGTTTTCTGAGGTGAGTTACAGATTAAAGGAAGTTGGGGTTCTTGGAAACTGTATTGTGCAAGCAGTTGGGTTGGATCCTGGCCAAAGTTACTACTTTAAGGACAGTAACACCTATGGAACCCAGGAATGAGAACAGAAAACAGTGTTTGGGAAACTGTGTTGCCTTTTAAAATGCCTGGCTTATTCTCAAGGAGTTTCTAATCCTCACTCCAAAGCAGACTGCATTTAAGAAGTCTGCGGTTAAGCGCTATACTCAACCATGAGCTCTAACTGAAGAATGATGGCTGTTTGCCCCACGATTGTTTATTTACAAGAGGGAACTGCAACAAAATGTTACAACATTTGTTCAGCATTACATGCTCTATTCAAGAATACCTCATTTTCCTACCAAACCACCCTGGTTTTCTGCTCTATCCTCCCCACCCTTCAACAGGCTGACATACTCCATGGCCACTGAGTATCCTTGGCCATCAGTGGACTCTTAAAGGATGTTTCCCCACTTATGGTTTCTCCCCTGAAATATTTTTTTCACCTTGACAAATTGCTGATATGCTCTCTTGTGTGTGGATGGTGCCATTTTGACCACATAAGGCCTAACACTAATAGAATTATTACTACTATTAATATGTATGATTACACTTTTATCCCAGCATCTTCCATGGAGCTCATCTACATGTTTTTTCTCTGCAAATTTTGCCCTTAGAGCCACCCTGTGAGTTAGATTAGGCTGAGAGAGAATGACTAGTCCCAATATCATCCAGCAAGATTCTTGGCTGAGAGGAACTATGAACCCAGGTTTCCTCAGGCCTAGTCTGACAATCCAACTATTACATTACAATAGCATACACACACTCTCTCTCTCTCACACACACTATAGCCACTTACACTTTGCATAGCCACATCTCTGCAAAGAGTATTTCCCTGCTGCTATACCTGTGAAAAGGTCTGTTTCTGGATCTGCTCAAACTCCTCTAGTCGGCCGTACTTAGTCAGGGTTGAATGGAACAGTGACATAGCTGCAGTTTTATTGCACTCATCCCGGACCTGGCACAAAGCCATGATGACTTCTGGCCGTGTCAGGAGGGAGATGAAGCTAAAAGTTTCTTTTTGCTCATTAAATGGGTACTCAGGAACATCAATGCGACCTGGGGACACAAGAAGAGATGTTATTTCTGTAGGAACAGTAGTCATGTAGCTGTTCTTGTTAAGCATATGTAAGAACCATAAATGCTGAAAAATGCATTTTATTTATTTACAGAGCAACCTACACCTCCACCCTTGCATCAGAGTGTGTATGTGTGCATATGTGTGAACTGAGCAAAGCTTCTCCTTCCAAAGCTTCCAAAATGTGTATTCTTGAGGCAGTAAGGGACTGATCCAGCCCAGGATTAGTTGGATCCTGAGTCAGTCCCACTGTTGGTGCGCCATTGTTGCACCAGCTCCAGGCTGGCACAGTGGCTCTCCGGCACCCCCTTCCTTTAAAGCAAGGACCACCCCATCGTTGCTCCTCCACCTCACCACACCTCCCCCCTGTACCTTTCCTGCCTCACCACTTCTCTTCAAGCAGTGATTAAAAAAAAAAAAGAAGACTCCAGAGTTGTTCCTTGAGCATGAAGCCTCCAGGCACACAAGGCCCAAGGGCAGTGCCAGAATCACAGGCCATCCCTACTGTAATTTCCAGGTGCAAGCAAGATGACCACATCTCTGTGTCCAGAAAAACAACAACTAGATCTGTATAAATTATGAAAATTAAACAAATTTGTACATTCCCACTCATTTTGCTTGGAAATGGACAAGCAATTATGGTCAAGCATTGAAGCCAATCCTCCTGACCCATGGAAATCTTAATTCTCCCTCCTCCTCCCCCCTCCACTTGCTCACAAGCTTTCACATATAACTTTGTAGTTCTAACAGCCAAAAACTCACTTTCTCAAAGCAATGTGATTCTCAGAATGCTATATATTTTCACAGAATTGCAGAATACACATACTCTTGCTTATTGATCACTGTTCCTTGCTCCAGAAGGGTTTGAGGCAAAGGAGTGGCAGCCATCTTGCATGGCATTGCCTCAAACCTTGGCTAGTCTAGCTCTGTCCCTCAAAGGATCCATGGCAGCAGCTTGGTTGTATCTGAATGGCTGACACTTGCTCTCATCACTATCATTCAACTTCTTTTACCCAGAAAGCTTGGGATGCAAATATATATAAATAGTTTGTATTGTCAGACTTTGTCAGAAAGGAACACGCTGGCACTGATTTATTTTCAATATCTATATATTACCCAATAACAAAACTTATTTAAGCAGCTTATAAGTAAAATAATTACGACTATAAAATATAATAATATAATATGGGATTGGTACATCTCCCTTTGCAACATATCAATCATAGTCTAAAGTTAATTGCAAGAAACAGAATAATTTCCCCCTGGGATGATTTTACACTCTGCTGCTGTCTTTTTCTACTGTGTCACCTACCCTTCTGTGGCACCTTCTCTTCCTCTTTCTCAGGCAGAGTGACATAATAGAACGTCTGAGGCTTGGAAGTGACAATTCTGTCAAAGTTAATCTTGTTCATGGTTCGCTCAAAGTCTAGGGACACTTCTTTCCCCAGGAGCTGCAGCCGCTCTAAAATGCTAAGCATAATTAAAAAACTAATTAACAGAATGAACTACGACCTCACACAATGTTGCGTCTGCATCACTCATATATCTCTACAGTCCCATCTTCACGCCTCCTGTGTTTGCATGTGCTTTGCTTCTTCATTAAAAGTGCTTGCGGCACATTAAGGGAGCTTCATAGTAGACCTGGAATGGGACAGCAGGTGATTCTGAAGGATCAAGGGGAAGTGGGGCAAGTTGTGTGACACCTAGGACTGTATTACATCTGACTAAAGGGAGAGATTTAGAAGCAATATTTCCACTCTTCTTTCTTTCTCGCTCCCCTCCTGACCCATTGTAATTGGCAGTCTGGCGATAACTGTTCCATTTGCATGGAGAAGGCAAAACAAAAAACAATGAGAAGCAACACCAGCAGAAGCCAGCAAAGGCCCTGTCCTGGAAGGGAAGACTGGCAAACACAAGGCCATGAGTCCCGTGGATAAGGTAGTCAGATGATAAGGAAGAACAATCTAATGCAGTGCCTCAAGGGTGTATTGCTGGGGCAAAGCTGAATAGCAAGTTTCAATAGCCTTATAACCCCAAGAGTTATCTCCTCAGCTTTTAGTCTTTACATTATTTTCCCCAATGGTAAATTATCATATGCCCAATGGAGATATTAGTTTGTACAGGGCCAGCTCTCTAGTTATTATTATTACTATTATCACAATTTCATATTATTGTCTGTAACTTCTGGAACCAGGATATATTTTCTGGTCTTGGGGCTATTCACAGATAGTCTTTAGCCTTCTTCAAAAACTAATTTTATTGCATTTTACACATCTGTATCTGACTGAGGAAAAAGCTTTCACAGTTCAGTGAGATGAACTGATATATCAATGATACCACTGGCTGATGACTCATCTAGCTCAAAGCGTCTCAAATCTTCCAAGCCATGGAGTCTGTAGCAGTGCTACAGACTTGATGGCAACCTTGTCAGAATTATGTTGTTTTTTTACTAGAACCTCTACCAACCAAAGTCACATGCAAAATAAATGCAGACAGTATTAAATAAATGGGCACCTCTGAGCACATCTTGAGCCTAGGAATTTGTTTTCCATACCAGAAAGGAACTTAGTTCCTAGGCCTTTCTCACAGAAGTCCATTCCTGGTTAGCTTTTTTTCAATTCAGCATCCTAACTTAGGCAGGAGGAAATAGATTGTCATTGCTATCGTGAAACAATTGGAAATCAGCCATCCTTGCAGTGATCTCCTCCTAGTGGTGCAGCAATAAAACTGCTAGCATATTTGCTTTCAAATGGTTTCAAATTTGGTTTCAAATTGGATGGGCGTCTAGATGTTGAAATTCCTGCATTACAGGGAATTGGACCAGATGGCCCTCAGGGTCCCTTCCAACTCTATGATTCTATGATCTACCTTGTACCCACTCAAGACCCTGTGCCATGCTCACCTGATTTCCAGTTGAAATATCTCCCACACTCCCCTTCACTTACCATTATCTAATCTTTGAAGATGCACAAGCAGTTGTTAAGAAAGGGAAGAGCAGCACCTGATCAGGAAGAAGCTCTCAGTGAATCACACGAAGGGGCTCTAATAACCACACTAAAAAGACCTCTACATTTCACCAGCTAGTTTCTGGAAGAGCTGCAACTTAATATCTCAAATACCACTAGTTAGATCAGTGCTCCTTAAAGTCTTCAAACACTGAAAGTCTGCACCTTACATCTATGGTGGTTTTACTGAATGGTTCCACAACACAGCACAGCCTGGTGTAATTGCATCTGAATTGCATCAAATTAATTGCAGGTGTCTGCCCTGCTTGTGTTTACTGGTTTCCTCCTTAGTTTTTTATGTCTGCCTCTGAAAAGCACAATTCCCAGGATGTGCAGAAACAGAGGAAGTAGGAAAGAAAGAACAGGGAATGCGATGAGAAGAAAAGGGTGTGAGGGAATGATAATGATGGAGTTATCCTGCCACCCAGGGGGCTAGGCCTCCCTTGTCATAAACAAGGTGTTAAAACCACAAACATGTTTTCAGTATGAAGGACTGTTGCAATACTTACATACTCCCTTTCCTCAGACGTGAAGTTTCCATTGCCATCTGCTTCATCCGCTGCAAACTCTTTTCTTCAATGGTTTGCATTCCATCCAGAGGCATGCAGTCAACATACAGGTTATACAACAATAGTGCCTGTGTTTTCTTCCTCAAGTCATTGGCAGAAATCACTCGCTCGGCAAGAACCCGGGGGTCCTCAGCCAGAAAAAGCAAACGGACACGGGGCACCCAATACTGACAAGGCATTAGTGGGGCTCTCCCTGGGGAGAAATTAGAAAAGAATGTGAACACACTGGGGCCATAAAAATAGATTGCAGAAACCAGGTGCCAAAATTATCTAATGAGTCTATGACCAAGCTAGTGTCAAGCTGAGAGTTTCGTGGCAGAAAAGAGAATGATGAGTAATAGAATCCAAATGGAGACTCAGAAGAATACTCATCAGAAATGTCACTGTATCCAACTAGATGAGACAGGAGGGATATGTGTGACTGTATCTTCCACTGTATTTTCAAAAGTTAAAGGCAGATGGGAGGGTGGGGAGAGGGAATCATTTTCTTCACACTGTTTTCCTAATCTAAACTGCCCTCTCCCCCACCAACTGCAGTTAATCATGTGGAGGAAAACATGTGATCATCATAAAGAGCGGCTGTGGTGGGGCTGGGAGCTGAAATTTAGATCATAAATGTAGCGTAAGGGAAGGTGCTATGTCTCCTCCTCCCAGTACCAGAATCCCAATCTGATTGCTCAGTTATTCCTCACCCCCAATGGTGACCACTGGCTTTTTTAAAGTGGGAGATATGATCACAGGTCCCCTGTTGTCTCATCTAATTGTGACCCTCCAAAAGTAGGCCATACCAAATTCTGTGGGACTTATTTCCAAGGAAACATGCACATGATCAGGTTCTAAGTGATGGAGTGATGAGAATGGAGGTCCTTTTACAAATAATCCTGAATTTGTCCACATAATGCCAAGGTTGCAGGTTCAGTCCCCATATTGGACAGCTGCATATTGCTGCATTGCAGCAGGTTGGACTAGATGATCCTCAGGGTCCCTTCCAACTCTAGAAGTCTATGATCCACCTCTATGAATCCTCAAAGGATTGTCAGGAAAAAGAAAATATTCCATGGTTGCTTATTAAAGAGGCAGAAAGATGCATCACAATCCAAGACATTCGTGAATCAAAGGGAGCTAACTGGGTATAGAGAGGCTCTTGATTTTAACTTCTTCCCTGTAATCCAATAAAAAATAAATCAATGCCCACCTTCTTCAGTCATTCCTCCATTAAGTACACGTTTCCCTTGTGCATCCCGGACTAGGCCCAGACTGTTTGTCTTATGAACCAAGTAAAATTTTGTCTCTTCATCATAATCCAGAACACCAACATCTATCCACTTATAGATCAGTTTGCGACTTTTGGGATCCTCTGAGATATGAATGACAAACAGGGAATCACATTTTCACAATTGTCTTGGTTAAAATAGGCAGAACTACACAGAGTCCTCTTCACAGTTTTACAAGCCTCATGATCCTGCTTTGTGTTCTGGGCTCCATATTTTGTATCTCCTTTTAATTTTTAATGGCACCCCAACACGTATTAGTATCTTAGTAGGTAAAAATAATAATAATTTATTATAATAATAGCTTATTATTTATATCCCACCCTTCTGGCTGTGTTTCCCCAGCCACTCTGTGGCTTCCAACAGAAGGTTTAAAATACATTAAAACATCAGTCATTAAAAACTTCCCTAAACAGGGCTGCTTTCAGATGTCTTCTGAATGTCAGATAGTTGTTAATTTATTTGACATCTGATGGGAGGGCATTCCACAGGGCGGGCGCCACTACTGAGAAGGCCCCCTGACTGGTTCCCTGTAACTTGGCTTCTCGCAGTGAGGGAACCACCAGAAGGCACTTGGCGCTGGATCTCAGTGTCCGGGCAGAACGATGGGGGTGGAGACACTTCTTCAGGTATACTGGGCTGAGGCCATTTAGGGCTTTAAAGGTCAATACCAACACTTTAAATTGTGCTTGGAAATGTACTGGGAGCCAATATAGGTCTTTCAAGACAGGTATTATGTGGTCTCGGCAGCCATTCCCAGTCACCAGTCTGGCTGCCACATTCTGGATTAGTTGTAGTTTCCGGATCACCTTCAAAGGTAGCCCCACATAGAGCACATTGTAGTAGTCCAAGCGGGGGATAACTAGAGCATGCACCACTCTGGCGAGACAGTCTGCAGGCAGGTAGGGTCTCAGCCTGCATACCAAATGGTGCTGGTAGACAGCTGCCCTGGACACAGAATTAACCTGTGCCTCCATGGACAGCTGTGAGTCCAAAATGACTCCCAGGCTGCGCACCTGGTCCTTCAGGGGCACAGTTACCCCATTCAGGACCAGGGAGTCCCCCACACCTGCCTGTCCCCTGTCCCCCCAAAACAGTACTTCTGTCTTGTCAGGATTCAACCCCAATCCGTTAGCCGCTATCCATCCTCCAACTGCCTCCAGGCACTCACATAATGCAGAAATGTTGTTAGGCACATGTTCTAACTGAAGTGGTCAACTTACAGGACTTAATTTTTAGGCTAAAAGCACCTGTCATTTGTGTTAGATTATAGAAGAATTGCAATCGCTCCACATATTTTGAAAAATTAACTCACAAGAATATCACATTGTACACCCAGATATAGAGGCATTAAAAATCAGACACTATGTCTAAAAATTATGGCTTATAAAATAGTTAATAAAATGCATAAATACCACATGTTCAGACACTAAAGTACTAGTTTAGTTCCACTCACATGAAACATTATGCTAGTGTCAACAGCCTGACTCCCACGAATTTCAGCAGAAATAAAATACACTTAACTGTTAACTGAAACAAAGTACCGTATTTTTCCATGTATAAGACTATATATTTTCCCTATTTTTTCAAGTTTAAAAATGGGGGTCGTCTTATACACGGATAGTGCATAGGGGGGATTTCTTTACTTGGAGTCCCAAAAAATAGGGGTTGTGTTATACACAGGGGCATGTTATACACGGAAAAATATGGTAATTAAAAAACATTAATTTCTAAGTTTCATTGGTAGGGATTCATAGAGCCACTTGGGGAAGGGTGGGGCCTTAGAATATATGCAAAATGCAAGAAAACATTGTATGTTTTGATCTGCTATACTTCAAAACAAAAATACTTGGAGGGAGAAAAGCATGGTTCTCATGTATTCAACTATTATTTTGCAATCTTTGTAATAAATGAAATAACTCAGTTGCATCACATCTATGCTTTACCATGCCCAAGCTCATCATCCGTAGGCAGGAGTGCTTTTCCTGGGATAGGTTTCCGGTCTTCAGATTCAGGTTCCACACCCAACAAAAGCCACTCTTCTGGAGTCCGGCAATCATACTCTTCATTATCAAAAATCTAAGCAAGCAAGAAGTGAGAAATTAATCCTTCACCAAAGTCAATAGCTGACTTGGAATCCTGACAGCTCTTTGCATATCCAAGTACTTCTGCACGTGCACCACGGCTCTGCTTGTTCTGACAGCAGCTTGTCCTGCTGCAAGAGTGTAAGGTCTGCCAAGCTTCTATAATGACTTGGGGAAGGGAGAATGAAGGCCATGGGGTGAGCAGCACTGGTAGGTGTGTGTTCATAAATGCCTCTGGCTGCTCTTTGGATCCTGCCTAATATCTTGTAGGAGGTGTCTGCTTCTTGTACATCTTCCTGGATCAAAACCCAAACATCAATCTCATATTTTCAAAATATATTGTTATAGAAATAGAGGGGATCCCCATAAACACTAGGAACATATAAATACTAGGATTTTGATTGGGAAATGGATTTTAAAAACTAACTGCAGAGCTGTGCCAGAGAGGGAATTCCTGGACTGCCTTACGCAAACCAACCTGGCTGGTTGAGGGAAGGGCAGACCTGTTAGCATTACAGTAAAGAGCAGGGGTAGGCAACCTAAGACCCATGGGCCACAAACGGCCCATGGGGGTCATTTGACCAGCCCACGAGTTGCCCCTGAACTGAGCTGCCCGCTTGGCAAGTCCCCACGCACTGCGCTAAAGCGGCGCAGTGTGGGGACTCACTTCCGCCAACGTCGGAAATCGCAGACGCTCATGATCTGGCCCACGGAGGGATCTCCGCTGGAGTGAACCGGCCCAGGCGAGGAAAACCTTGCCGACCCCTGGTAAAGAGCCATTGAGGGTCCTGCCCCAGGTGTGACCAGAGACTGGAAATTTGGAAGGTTGCCACGGTAACTGCTCTGGGGGAGGGCAAAGGGCTTCTGGGAAGAAGGGGGAAAACAGCTGAGATCCATCTTTGTGGGATAGACTAAAAGTTACCTGGAATGCTTTGAGCCATGCTGTAAATTACTGTTATTATCTGGACTCCCTTCATGCAGACTGAAGGTGCAAATAGGCGAATAAACCCTATTTCTTAAAGCACAACTGTCTCTGCCATGTCTTCTATTCTCCAAAGGGACACTGACCCTGTATGTATGCCTGCAACCCTGTGCGCTCTCTTGTTACTGCTTGGCAGAGATCGGGGCAGGCACCAGGCTTTTGTAACACTATTCAGCTTCTTTTAAGTACCATTAATGTTGCCACATCCACTCCCCACCTCCCACACCACCCCAGTGTCCTGGTTATTTTTAATCCAATGTTAAGACATAATGCACAGCAGCAATTTCCAAATGGTAATTAGATATCCATAGAGACACACAGGTTATTTAATGGAAAGTCATAATCAAATGCAATTGCTGGGTCAACTTTGTAAAAGGCTTGGGAATCCCTGAAGTAGATCACATGCACCACTGAATCCCTTATCTTACCTGTAATGGGAGATAGACAGGGAAAAGAGGGTCGTTCTTCTGCTCAATAGTTGGCATATTGTCAGGGTCCTGGTGTCTTGGCATCAATTCATTGGAATCTATCCCTGCCATTTCTAAGAGCTGAGTGATATCCAGGCTGAGATATAATCGTCTCAACCTGGTTAAATAATAAGATTAAACAGTTCATATTTACAGGAAGCGCGATTCAATTCTTGTTAATCTGTTTCAGGGACTGACTAATAAAGTAAATTGAGTAATACAGGGTAATAAAGAGACAGGCCAAAACTATATGCTTTGGGGCAGTCCAATACTCCAATGTTGTCAGAGATGGGTACCTGATTCAAAAACTCCTCTATTATTCTGAAGACCATTCCAAATCAGCTTGTAGATTTTTGTCCATGGAGCCTCAGGCTGAGGTTCTGTGAGAAAAGCTAACGTATGTAGCTCAATCATATGAATTTGGCATTCCAAAGCCCATTGAAATCAGAGAAACGTATCTACCTCTCTGAAGGATTGCCATCTTACAACCTGAACCTATGCAGGGCTAGAGGAGCCTAAGCCCACCCATTTCAATAGTTTTAGTATAGGCTCGCGTAACTCTCTGTATAGAAATCCAGAGCTGCACATCCAAATGCAATGGTCCTTGCCTGTGTTGTACGCAAGTCCTTTGTAACTATTTCCTGGCACTAATTACCTCTCGATCGCTATCTTCCGAGGACACTGTCCTGGAATCACCTCAAAGGGAACTTGTACTTTTGGCTTATATGATTGCAATGGAAAGTCCGTCTCTTTGATTATTTCTGTAGTTGGTCCAATTTGCTGGGCATTCAAAATAGACTCAATATTCTCAGGAGTTTCAAATGTTGTGACTGGTAAGAAACAAGATTAAGAAAACAAAAACATTTTTTTTAAAAAAATGTGGTTACTGTAAGAGTCCCAATCCCAGACTTATCAGGGAGTCTGACTGAAGTGACCACTATAGCAGCGAAGGCACTGCCTAAGCCACTGAAAACAGCAGATTGGTGGAATCTGCCCAGAGAAAGCTGCATGCACATTGCAAAAACTGCTCCCACCCTGCAAAGGACAGAATTTGTGGTGATTTCCAATGCTTGGGGCCCAGCTCTGGGAAATTTCCCTCTCTTCCACCCAGATTAAAGAACAATAGTGTAAATCAGAGGTTGGCAAGGCTTACCGGGCATGGGCTGGATCACTCCCATGGAGATCGTCTGTGGGCCGGGCCAGCGCAGCACGATGCCAGAAATTGCTACTGAGCACGTCTGCGGCGCCGGAAATCACTTTTGTGCATGCCCAGATGCCGGAAATCACGCCTGCGCAGAAGCGATTTCCGGCGCCGTGGACATGCGCAGATGCGATTTCCGGCGCCGTGGACATGCGCAGATGCGATTTTCGGCGTCTGGGCATGTGCAAAAGCGATTTCTGGTGCTGCAGACATGATTTCTGAACGATATGAATCAGAACCATGCGGCAATTTCGGGACTGTCCATGGGCCGGATCTAGAACCCATTTGGGCTGGAACCGGCACGTGGGCCTTACGTTGCCTACCTCTGGTGTAAATCCATACGTGATGAGATCTTTCATATTTTCCACTTCCATTGAAGTAACTAGAATGGGTTTATCTATTTTACTTATCTTCCGCTTAATGTTATTTATCTGTGCTTTGTATTTAGTCTAAGTTATTTTGTAACTCTTGCCAGTTTCATGGTGAAATCAACAGTTATGAAACCCAGGGACAAGTGAAAAGGGAACAGTTATCATCCATCCCATCTTGGAGAACTGAAAATGTTTGTTATGCATATATGCATAATGCTAAACACGCACTGAGAAATGTTGGCTCCTCCTGTGTCACACTATGTTCAAATCTTCACTCATTCATGAAGTACTGTACGTATCTCAGCGGGAGAGCATGCAGAGGTCCCCAGGTTCAATCCCTGACATCTCTAGGTATGGCTGGGAAGACAGCACCTGGAGCCTTAGAGAGCTGCTGTTAGGCAGTATGAGCAATTCTCAATTAGATGGACTCCTTGTCTGACGCAGTATAAAACAGCTTCCTATGTTCCTAAGCTCACAGGGTGACCTTGGGTCAATCACTTTCTCTCAGCCTACCTCACAGGGTAGATGTACCCGTACCATGTCCCATATCCTCCAAACAAAAGACGTTCCCCCCTCCCTTTCATTTTCAAGCTCCTTAAACAAGCCCAGCTATTGGGTCTTCTCTGATCCCTTCAGGATGGCTACCACCCACTTGACTGGGGCATGGCTGCTAGTCCACTTGTCTGTAAATCCACAGATATTTATTCTGCCCTGACTTTGCTTGACTGTTCTGTTCCTTTTGGCACCATCAAGGATCAATCATACTCTTCAAAGTTCACATATCCCCCCCCCCCCCCCGTTACAGGAGCTCAACTTTCTTCCAATTTCCTAGGGAGGAAAGTGATGATAACAGCCTTTTCCGTGTGCTTACCTTTTGGCGTGTGATCCTCATGCTCTGACTGTTTCAGTAAGTCCCTGTATACATTCGGACCTGCACTCACATCCTGAAATTTAATATAATAAGGATTACAAAGAGACAGTACAGAAACATGTATAGAATTCAATGAGCAAACAAGAATTGGTCATATACAGAGAGAAAAGAAAAAGCAAGCTATGATCTGGTGAGCTAGTTTTCATAATAGCAATCAGACTGCAAAGAATGAGATATGACATCTGATGGTACATCCAGTGCCTTGTGCAATTCCCTGAGATTCTCAACATTAATTAAAAGACAAACACATTCCCAGCCTCTACAGCTGAAGGGAAAATGTGTTAGTAGTTAAGGGTTAGGAAGTATAATAAATCTGGAGAAGCCTCCAGTAATCATCAAGTGGAATTCCTTCCCTCATCCTAGTCCCACTATAAATAAACTGGCAGTGATCTACCCATTGGATCGACCAGAGTTGTTGAGCTCTTTTAGGGGGGAGGACCAAAGTTGCTGAGCTTTTTTGGGGAGGGGTGAGCGATCAACCGGTTGGACAGGCCTGATATAAACCAATCTCCACTCATTTTTCTACAAGTCTCAACCCTCTTTTCCTGTTCTAGAAGAGAAAGAAAGAAAGAAATTGAAAGTCTTTACCTTTTGAAAAAGCCAATAAACTGAAGCATGAGGGGTACCATTAAGGGAAAGCCATTTCACTTCCTAAAAACACCTGAGATACTATAGAAAAGGACTTTCTATTTTCATGAAAATCACCCAACTCCTCAAAGCTCTAAAATGTATTAAGAGGCGAAATAAATAAAATAACATTCCTACCTTCCTATGACATGAAAAACAGCTTTAGAGGAAAGAAAGAGCAGAGATGGGGCAGAAAACAGAAATGGAACTTCAAAATATATGTTCTTAAAATACATTTATCTATCTCTCACTCTAACACCAGTTTGTGTCATTTATATTTCAACTGTCTACAGACCAATGATAGATAGAGGTTCTATTCACTTACCCCCAAGAGATCTAAAGCTCCTGGTGTAAGGACATCTGAGTAAAATCCTCTTTCTTTTATCGGTGGGTACTTCTTACTGCCCGACGAGGTTTTGCTGGTTCCCGGAAGGCTCTCTGAACCCTGGCTACTGGGGTAAGGGGGATAGGGACTCCTTCCCAATGACTCTGTCAGTTCCTTCTTGACTTTATCCATCCTGCTCTTTGATCTCCTAGAGGAGGGGTAGGAAAGAATTGTGAGGCTGTTCTTCACATCATAAAGAGGAAACAAATTATTAATAATAGCTCTGTATCCCAGAACTTCCAATTTTCAGGGCAACTTACTAATCAGATGAAGTAATAAAAAGGCTCATGTACATGCTACAAATCATGTTTAGTGCTTTAATTGCATAACGAAGGGGACCGGGGTCTGTTGAAACATGGAAGCCATGAACTCAACTCAGAACTGTCCACATCAGATCTCAGGTGGATGGGGGCTAGTTAATCAGAAATGTGATGATATACTTATAGAGATTCTCCTCTCCAGACCTGAAAAAGATTTTGGGAAGGGAACCACAGGCACTGTAAACTTAAACTGTAATAATGCAGAATATGGATGTAATCTGCCTGAAAAAGGTTCACCGTGGCTCAAGCTCACTTTATAAATGCTAACCCAACTGAAAATCATCTCACACTTCAAAGCTTTATCCTTGGTATGACCTGTATACCCCATTCATCTATTAAAGAGCTGTCCATTCTGAATCATCTAATCCGTTTGACTCCAACAGTGGTCAACCAGATTTCTCCTAACAATCATATCAATCTGTCAAAATGCATGGCCGACATGCATCCAATTTGGAGTGAGACATACTTAATCCTGTTGAAATCAATTAGCTTAAGCCTGTTTCATAGAGCAATCCTACTTTGGTTAGGAAAAGAGTGAAGCGGTGGTTTTACTGGCACATCCCAAGCCCTGCTGCTGGCTCATGCTGGCTTGGGCAGGTAGGGGCGATTCTGTTGATGGTATTGCTATGTCATCTCCAGACTGGCATAGTTGAGGTGGCTCAAGCGTGGGGGACCCTTGGGGAATCCATGAGGCCTTGGATCTAAGAGATCCAAAGCCATTGGCACCAGGCACCTGATGTATTTCACTTTTGGCCTTTCTGCTTGCTACTGCTAATGGGAGACCTTTCTTCCCACTAGGGCATAGCTGAAGCTCCACTGAAGAAAAATCTCCAGTCCTACCAGCAGCTGTTCTCCTCCCTTCTCTTTTAATGATCTGAAATATTTTATATTCTGTAATTTTCTTAATTTGTGGTTGGTGGACTGTAAATAAACTATATTTGTATTTGTCTCATTGTATCCACCCACCAACATCTTAGAGTTAGGATTGTGCTGTATGCTGGATCTAGGCTATTTAAGCTTTGACCATAAGTCAGTAATTGTATTGTTACAATATTAAATGAGAAAGAAATACTTTCCATAATAAAATGGATCCCACAACATAATGGAATCAAGTTATACCCAGATCTAATGAAAGACAAAACAAATAGACCTTTACAAAAAAAAACACCTGGTTATCTTACCATCGCATAAACCATAAAGAACACTAGGATTCTTTAAAAAACAAAACTTCAAAATAGAATAAATGTGAAGTGTTTGGTTTCAGCTTCTTCACTAATTAAAATAAATTCAGAAAATGGCTGCAGGAGTCTTTTTGTTTAATTGTCTGGTTGTTCCTTTTTTCCTGGGTGATCTCCTCTCACAATTTCTATTCAGCTGTCAGGTTAAATGCAAGCACAAGCAATTATAATGAGCCTGGGTATCCAAGCTATATAAAGATACTTATGTAAATGAGGGTGTTAATTAAGGGCTGCCCTCAGCATTCTGGCAAGAGGCTACTGAAGTCTTTTGTTGTGCAAAATCTGGCCCCCAAAGCTATTCTTTATGTGCCCAACCTAACCTCTCACAGCAAGATCTTTCCTGATTGGCTGCGACTACCACACATGGATGGCCGCAACATAGTGGGACGGCACCAGCGAATAAGGTTTGGTGATCAGTGACTGAGCAGATGCTGTCTCTTAATTATGAAGGTGAAATGGCAATAAAAACCAAGACACGAGCAAAATCTACATACCTTTGAGGGGGTCAGCCTACTCTGTTTTGTGCTGGCTCAGCAAGTTAGCACTTTCATGAAGTAACTGCCACAATATACTTTTTCCTCTAAAGGGCCTTCTTAAAAAGTGACTTTCTTTTCTAAGTTGTAGCCATACTAGTTCTCCTCCATTTAGCAGAAAGAGAGCTGGCACAAGGCCTTCACAGTTTGAAAAACAACAACAAACAGAACACTCTTGAAATGTCATGTCATGGTTAGGAGAAGAAAAATGAGCACTTCCTGGTCTTTGGCATAAAGGTAAAGGTAAAGGTACCCCTGCCCGTACGGGCCAGTCGTGTCCGACTCTAGGGTTGTGCGCTCATCTCACTTAAGAGGCCGGGAGCCAGCGCTGTCCGGAGACACTTCCGGGTCACGTGGCCAGCGTGACGAAGCTGCTCTGGTGAGCCAGCACCAGCGCAGCACACGGAAACGCCGTACCTATTTATCTACTTGCACTTAGGAGTGCTTTTGAACTGCTAGGTAGGCAGGAGCTGGGACCGATAGACGGGAGCTCACCCCGCCGCGGGGATTCGAACCGCCGACCATACGATCGGCAAGTCCTAGGCACTGAGGTTTTACCCACAGTGCCACCCGCGTCCCCAGGTCTTTGGCATATTGCTTGCTAAAAGGGCGCAGAAGCACCGCCCTGTTGCAGGGGTACAGCACCAGAACAACCACTACTGAAACTAGATAAATACAGAAATAAATAATAATAATTGGCCTGGACATAGAAGGAGCAACTGTGCCTCTCTTCTCTAGTGATGCTTCAGTTGCAGGACTCCACGCCACCCTGCCTTACCAACAATGAACTAAAACGGGTAAGGAGGTAATATTTTCCCAGCAGTGAGCTATTTGGGCTTGGAATCTGGGAAGATGTACCGGTAATTTACTCAAAGGAACTATTACGTAGGGTGGGGGTGGGTTTTCCCATGACATATTTATAACAATTACACATTAATTTATAACAATTATGCTTAAAAACAACAACTAATACTCAGGCCCTTATTTTTCAATTTTTAAACTAATGTTTCCCAAACTTCTAACCGCTGAGGCTCCACTTATTTACTGAATTAAAATGGGAGAAATACTTTGCCTTAGATATGAAAATATGTAGTTTTAGCACATTAAAATATTAACTACACACAGGAAGCTGCTTTACTAAGCCAGGCAGTTGGCCATTGAACTACGTAATTGTCAGGGAACTGCCATCGGACGGAAGGGAGGTGAAAGGGCTCACACAGGTTGGGAGAGACGCAGCAGCTGAAGAGGGAACCAGCAGGGAGGTGAAAGGGCTCACACAGGTTGGGAGAGACGCAGCAGCTGAAGAGGGAACCAGCAGGGGAGAGGAGCTGAGCTGGAGGGATGGCTCAGAGACACTTCCAGCGAAAACAGTGGGGAGGTTTCAGGACCTCCTGTAAGAACACCCACTCCTCGCCGGAAACTGTCACGCAGAGATTCCAGAAGACGTGTTTCCGTTAAGGAGCTTTTATGTTGGAAGCGATTACGAAAGCAACCACTGTCGGAATCTGCTAGTGACTAGAGGAGCCATGTCTGAGGGCTCCGTCACAGACAGAGGTTTGTGGACTTGAACAAACTCTGAGGGGATACGATTTTACGCACAAGCAGCTCATCATCCCATCACAGCATTCCGACAGTCTTTGAAAGCAGCTTGTGCAGGAGAAGGCATCATGAGCAACCCAGCCGGAACCGGAGAAGCAGGAGCTGGAGTGGGTCCAAGCCTGGAAGAAAGGTACCGGGTGTTGGAGGTCCAGCTGGCGATGCAGACGGCGAGGCTTGAGGAGAGGAGGGCTCAGGATGCAGACAAAAGGGAAAGCCACCCAGCTCGCCAGAAAGGTACCAGGATTGGTGCAGAAGTTTGGGGAGCCCAAAAACTATCATGGCTTTCGGACAGAAATGCAATATGCCCTCAATCTGCAGTTTGATGAATTCCCTGACGAGGAATCACGAGTGGCTTTCGTGATTGAGCATCTTGAAAAGGGGCGAGAGACTGGGTTAGACCCCTGATGGCAGCGAATAGTGACGTCCTAAAGGACACAATGAAGTTCTTTCGCGCCATGGATCTGATGTTTTCCAGCGATATTGAAAAGGGAGTGGTGCGCAGACAGTTAATGGGTTGCAAACAGGGAGCCGATCTGTCCGTGAGTACTGGACTGAGTTCACCATGCTTGTTCACAGATTGGGGTGGGACTTATCGGCGGAACCCATTCAAATGCTCTTTGAAGAAGGGCTTTCTTCGGCTGTGAAAGACGAACTTTCCCGGGCGCCCAGGGCGGAGTCTATGGACCAGCTGACCAAATCAGCGCTGGCCATAGGAGCGCGCCAGGAGGCGAGAGCATTGGAGAGGCGGGAAGGGAAGGGGAACGTTGGAAGGAGTTCCGCATTCCAGACATTCCAGAGCCAACTTTCCCACCGGCAGAGCCGATGGAAATCGGAACAGCGCGCGCGCGCAGTTTCAAAGCCCAGTGAGGGGCAAAGAAGGAGGGAAAAGGCGCCCGGAAATGCTATCTCTGCCAACAGCCAGGTCACTTTGCCAGAGTCTGCCCCCAGAGGAAAGAATGGCAAGGGATGGTAGGAGCTGTGGATGGAAGAGAGGAAGAAATACCGGAGCAAGTAAAAGCCAACGCCTGGCTGCCACTGTCAGGGCACAGCAGCCAGGCCAAAGAGCAGTGAGAGTGCCCACGCCAGAACCTCCTAAACCCGCCCTAGTGATAGAAGTGACGCTAGAGCTGCCAAACGGACACCCTCTAAAGATAAAGGCGCTGTTGGACTCAGGCAGCTCCTGCAATTTCATGAGCAAAGAGTTTGCAGCTGAACACCAGATACAGACAATCCCTTTAAGCAGCCCCTGCAGGTGACCACGATCGATGGCAGGGAGCTGTTGGGTGGAGAAGTCAGCTTGCAGACCGTCCCAATGATAATGAAGGTAGCAAGGCACACCGAACTGATAGCTTTTAATGTGGCCACCTTGGGAGGAGCTCCCATTATATTGGGGATGAGCTGGCTAGCGTTACATGATCCGCTGGTGGGCTGGCATCAGAGAGTGGTTTCTTTTGGTTCAGCAC